TCTGATCACTAACTGTTACATCCTCTTACCTGTATATCGCTGATGAAGTTATCCTTAGCATCACCCCGGGCGTAGCAGATGAAGGTCGTCCGCCTTCCTCTTCTAATTTCCCGTTTCTAAGAGGCCTACTGTTGTCACATAAGGACTGATACGTATTTTATCTTCAGTTTATGAGTAATCAACTTACTAACATATAAATCACATAGCTCTAAATCACTGAAATACACACGCTAAAAGAAAAAAAAAAGAAAAAAAAACTTAAGGCAGTGCAAATAACAAAGATGTACATTCCCCATCTCCTGAGGGACAACCGCCGACCTTGAATTTAGAAAGAAAACCGAAATTTAAGACTCATGGCAGGACATAAGTAGCACCGCACTCCCAGCTGTTCGACAGAGTCACTGAACTTATAATCATCATTGTATATTTTGATATTTATCATTTTTATCATTGTTATTATTTCATTAATGTTATTTTCATTATCTTTAATATTATCATCATTACTGTTTTACTATTATTTATTATCATGATTATTATTGTAATTATTATTAGCAGTAGTAGTATTATTATCCTTATTATTAGTATTATCATTATCATCACCATTGTTATTATCATCTTTCTCATTACTATTATCATCTTTATCATTATCATTATCGTTATTATCATTATTATTACTAATACTTTTATTGCTATTATTATTATTATTATTATTGTTATTATTATCACCATCATAATAATCAAAATTGTTATTGATATACTAATTACCCTTAACATCTTTATCATTATCATTACCATTATCATCAACACTGTTATCTGTATTGCTATAATACATTATATTCATTACTGCTATAACCACTATTATTACCATTATCAATATCATTATTTAGCATTATTATCATTATTGTTGTCATTATCTTTATGGTTATCACTATTACCTTTATTATTATCATTATTATTATTGTTATCATTATCATTATTATATCTTTTACTACTATTATTATTATTATTGTTATTACTATCATTATCATAATCATTTTTATTCATCCTTTTTATTATTATTATCATTATTATCATTATCATTACTATTGTTATTATAACTACAACTATTATCCTTATCATTATTTCTATTATCATCTTTATTATCATTGTCATTATCATTACTCTTATCATAATGAATACAACTATTATGATTATCATTATCATTATTTTTATTTAAACTACAACTGTAATCAGTATCATTATCATTAATTTTATAACTACAACTATCATCATTATCATTATCATTTCTATTATCGTCATTATCATTATTATTTCTATTATCATCAGTATCATCATTTCTATTACCATCAATATTATTATTTCTATTATCATTATGTTTATTATTTCTAGTATCATTGTCATTATCATTTTTTATCACTGTCATTATTACTATTATGATTTTTAATTACCATCATTATCGCCATCACTATCATTATTAATATTGGTGAACTCAGTGATGTTTACGATACAATACGTAAAAAAAATATAAATAAGGTCTCTTTGTCACATAAAAAAGGCAATACAATGTTCACACTATTTTTTTGTTTTTAAATTAATCTCAGAATATAGTAATTTAAAAGAAGAAACGATAATTCATCGATTCCCTGTAGAAGTGATTGTGGAGCGAAAGAAAATTAAGCAGCTAATGATATACCAAAGAAAAAAAACAGGAACCAGAATATTTCATTGTTATGAAGAATACATTTGTATAAATAATTGCATATACAACCCCCCTTTTTTAAAGTGAAGTATAATTTCTTGGCATGTGATTTGGCGTTGAAATGTAGTTTCTAAAAGTATCCTAATACAAACTAATATTTCACTTCCCGTAAAATCTAGGTTTCTGCTTTATTTTTTAGTTAGTAAAAGGGGAATATATTTATTAAGAAACCACTCATCAATGGCAAATATGTTTCCATGCCATATGCTCTGGAAAATTATCAAGATCTGGATTTATGATCGTCTACGCTTTATCTTTGTGTACTGCCTTGTCTATAGTTTCTTCCCTTTTTCACATTCCTTCTGTCCTTTCCTTTCCGTTGATAAGTCTCGCGGCTCATATTGGCGATAAAGTCCTCTCGGGTCAGCCCACACCGCATGGAGAAGTTGCATAGAGAGAGGGGCGCGTGATTGGACTTTATTCCCAAATGAGTTCGCGAGACGCGGGGGTTCCAATCACCGCTGCTCTAATCTGTGGAATTTCTCTTTGCAGGATGTGGCGCTTCACCGCGACGTTACTGCTGCTGGCTCTGGCCTCAGCCGAACCCCAGGGATACAATTACCCGGAACCAGACAACCAATATCTTCCTCCCGCAAAATGCAAGCTTGCTCCTGTTACCTCCGTCGTCTACAACACTCAGCTTCAGACCTCAGTTCGCCTCCAGACCGTCAGTCAACTCAACACTCAGTATAGAACCACGACCATTGTTAGGCAACAGGTGGTACCAACCACACTTTTCCAGACTCGTGTTCAGACGCAGGTCCAATATCAGACGAGCGTTGTTCGACAAACAACAATTCGTGCTATAGACAGGTTTGTCACACAGACCGTTCCAAGCCCACCTCTTGTGCAGACTCGTTTCGTCACTTCAACCCGTGTGGTGCCACAGGTCAACTACGTCACACGTACACAGGTGCAGACACAGGTGGTTCCTGTTCAGGTGACCACCACTCAGATCAGGACTATCATCCAGCCTCTTACTAGTTACCAAACACAGCAGCGCCAAGCTACCCGTGTCGTCACTGTCCCAGGCCGTGACGTTGTACAAACTCGTGTTCAGACTGCTGTTCAGACATCCATTGTCAGGAGCCAACAGCCAGCTATCACCCGTTTTGTAACAACCACACGTGTACAACAGCTGTTAAAGACATCTATCGTTCGTGGACAGGACGTCCTTAGAACTACTGTTGCTCAGCGTCAACAAATCATTCCTTTCACATCTGTTAACACTCGTTACAAGAATGTCGTTGCTACTCGTCAACAGCTGGTCACCAGAACCAATATTGCTACCCAGACACGCATCCTCACACAGGTGGTGCCCCAAGAGGTGTTGCGTACACAGCTGGTTCCCACCACCATCTATACCACTCTCTTTGAGACAAGGGTTCAGCCTTTCACACGTGTACAGACCGTTGTCAGGACCCAGTACGTCACACCGGTCCCCGTCGTACAAACCCGTCAGGAAGTCAGAACCTCTGTGCTCCAAGTACCCGGCCAAAACCGCGTCGTTAACCGGGAGCTGGTGCAGACACAACAAAGACAGGAGCTTGTGTACCACACAGTCAACCAACCTCGCCAAGTTACTGTCACTCAGACAGTTACTTCCTCTTGCGGATATAATTACGATGCTCCGGCCGTTCCCTTCAATTTCTAAAGAAAAACTACTTCACCACAACGATCATTTTGATTCCCATCAGAGTTACGAACGCTGAATCAAAAAAATATCAAAACCTTGTCCGCAAATCTATTTATATTTCCCTTTTCCAGTGCACATTGTATGAATGTAAATGTCAAATACACACCAATGTTTCTATGCAACACTTTTACTACTACCTCTATATAATACATAGACTTCATATATGCTCTTCAAAGTAAGTATCTTCAATTCACTATTATTTTACATTATATTAATTCCGTATTTTTATGAGACAATTTCACTATTAAATGTGAGAGGCATTAGTTCTACGTGAAATTAACTCATTTTAAAATCATTTCTATATTCATTCCATATATTCAATGTAATAATAGCATTGTATTTCTTAGGATGAGGACCCTGCTGCTCTTCCTGCTGGTCGGCTGCGCCTTCGGAGCGTCCGTCGAGAGGCCTCGCCGTCAGATCTTCGGAGCTCGCATCAACCTCGAATCCTCCTATTTACCGCCAAAGGAAGAAGCCCAATGCAAGCCATCTGTCGTTTACCGCACGCAGATCCAATATTCTACCGTAGTCGTTCCATCAACCGTCTACAACACAAACGTCCAGTACATCACACAAACATCCGTCCGCACACAGCAAGTCTTCACCACCTTATACTCACAGATCGTCCGCACTCAACAGGTTCCTTCAGTAAGATACCAAACGCTCACTGTCACGACCACTCAGGAAAACCTACGCACACAGCTGGTCACTCTCCCTCCTCAGGTCAATTACGTGACTCGTACTCAGCAGAGTGTTAGGACCCAAGTGCAATACCAGACACGGTATGAGACTCGCGTCCAGCAGGTACCCACTACCATCATTAGAAACGTCATCTCAACACAGGTGGTACCTCAGCAGGTGGTCAGCACCGTCTACAGAACACAAACGGTTATAAGAACACAGCAGTTGCCTGATCAGACTCGTATTGTACCTACTACTCAGTACAGCACCCGTTATTCTACTGTAGTCATACCTGCACAGAACGTCGTCAGGACTACCCAGCTTGTCAGCACCAACGTCGTCACCCAAACCATCACACAACCTGGTCAAACTCGAGTCATCACCTCTACACAGCTGATTCCTGTCACCACCACCATCGTCTCGCAGCTGGTTCGCACCAACACGCAGATTCAGTATGTGACACGTACACAAGTAGAACAGCGAGTCTCCACCGTCATTCGTACACAGCAGGTGCCACAGTACAACACAAGGATCGTCACCGTTCCTCAGCAGGTCGTCAGGACACAGTTCTCTACCCGAGTGGTTCCTACAACCATTTACGCTCATAGGACAGCGTCTTCATACATCAGTCTTCCCGCTCAGACACGTTATGTTACAGTCACTCAAACCTCTGTCAGGACACAACAACTGCCCGATCAGACCCGCGTTCAATACAACACCAGAATCGTCTACAACACTAACTACGAGACTTCTACCGTATACAGGGAACAGTATAACACCGTGACGGCTACCGCCACCGTCAAAGGAGACTGCGGCTACAGCTACCCAGCCCCCGCTCGCGCCTTCAACCCCTTTGCCAGCTAGAGGATCTTATACAGCAGATATTGCGTCGTTGAAGATGGCATTTCTTCAGAGAAATGAAAATTCATCTACACCACATTAAAGATCTTCTTTAAAATATATGGAAAATATATGCTTTCCTAACTGAAATTTGGAAAGTCCCATTTACTACGTATATTGTACATGAATGATTACCAACACATAATAAATTGTACATCGATGTCGTAGTTTTGCCTTGGACTTTTTTGATATTAGGTGTATATTAGTCAGTGAAGCTAAATCAGACAAATTATTTAAAACACTAGTTATTGTTCACATGGTGTTTCTTTTATACAGTGATAGCTAAGAGCGTGCTTTCATCTGCTCTAGGTAATATACCGTGGCTTGCCTTTTTAATCAGGTATTTCACCTGAATACATTAGCACTTTTTGACACACACACAAAGGCAAATACACCCACACACATACACACGCATATGTACACATATGTGTATATATATGCCCGGCTATACATATACACATATATGTGTATATATATATATATGCGTCTTTACACACACATACATATATATACGTGTATGTGTATGTATAGATGCATATATATACATATATACATGTATATGTATATATATGTATAGACGCATATATGTATGTGTGTATAGATGCATATATATATATGATAGATATATAATATATATGTATGTATAGACGCATATATAGAGAGAGAATATATATGTTCATTCATATTCGTATCATAACCTCATCATATACTTTCGTATATGTACTGATAGTATAAATGAACTGGCGAATATGTTAGTGACTGAAGAGGAGAGTGATAAGCATGGAGACAACGAACCAGTTAGTTTTTTCGCTTCTTTGGTGCTGGTTTGTTCATAGAATTCCAGTGTTCCTTTCCTTTAGTTCTCTTAAGAAAAGAGGAAATTCGTGTTTATAATTATGTTTTTCTGTTGATTTACTTTGTTAGATTGCTTGCTACAAGATTTTTAGATTATGGATATCCATTTACTTTTCGACCCTCAGAGAAAATACATGGGTGAGAGAAAGAAAAGGCGTAGGAGTGCTGCAGGGCGTAATGTACTGACACGAATGTATTCATATATACATATATTTGTGTATGTATTGTATTTGTATATATATTTATATGTATTGTATTTGTATATTTATTTCATTTATATATATGTTGCATCTGTACATGTAGGATATATATTTTTCCCTGGAGTATAGCACAATGTTGGATAAAACGTTCCAGAGGCAATTGATATGTAAGGTTGCCGCCTTTGTTTCAGACTTGGAATGTTTTTGTTTGTCTGGTTTTTTTTTCACCACTTCTATTTTTCCATTCTTTCCTCTTTTCTATTTTCCATCTTTCAAGCGACTTTCTTTTATAATATGTATAAAAAGATCGAGAATTATTGACTTCTATAAGTGTTTCAATGACAAAAAAGGTAAACCATCTTTTTATCTGATGCTTTTGTAGTTTACATATCATTCTAGTTCAGGGGGGTATGGAGCTATGTGAAGATTATGACGCATTAAATTCAATTTTATCTCACCTATAGTACCAACATATAACCAAATTCTCAAATATCAATCAATTGGGATTTTTCCATAAAGAGTTATTATATAGTGGTGGGGGGGAGGGCACAGAATTAAAAAATATTGTGAATCACTGGTATAATTAATACATATTGTGAACCTAGAATTACATTTGAAACAAGTATATATCAGATTGAAGAAAGAAAGAAAATAATGTATGAATGATGAGCAATTCTGAATTATTTTAAATAGAATGTACTGAGTATTTTTCAACAGTTTATGCTGTGAGCAGTTTACGATAACTCAGCTACAGGTGAAGATGGTTTCTAGATATATCTCTTTTCCCCGAAAATATAATATAAAGTTCTCTGTTGATCTGATCTGATAGTTTTTCAACTACCCATAGAGAGAGCATATTGGACATATTCCGTAGAGGAGCACAAGGGGATTATTGGACGGGTGCAAGATTTAATTTGGTTGATTTCATATAATGTATTTTTTCATTGAAAACTATAAACTCTCATATCTTATGTGGAAAGGAATAAGGAATATTAATGTATAATCTTTCATTTTATTTTATAGTGATGATCAATCTAATTAGACATATGTGATCAGCCTTTAAAGGTGAATGTAGGAAAATACTCTCTCTGTACCATCTTTACAGACGCAATATCTGCTATAAAAAAAAAATAATAATAAAAAAAAAACTCTAGTTGGTGAAGGGGTTGAAGGCGCGAGCGGGAGCTGGGTAGCTGTAGCCGCAGTCTCCTTTGGCGGTAGCGGTGGCCGTCACGGTGTTGTACTGTTCCCTGTACACGGTAGAAGTCACGTAGTTGGTGTTGTAGACGATTCTGGTGTTGTATTGAATGCGGGTCTGATCGGGCAGTTGTTGTGTCCTGACAGAGGTTTGAGTGACTGTGACGTAGCGTGTCTGAGCTGGAAGGTTAATGTATGAAGACGCTGTTCTCTGAGCGTAGATGGTTGTAGGAACCACTCGGGTAGAGAACTGTGTCCTCACGACTTGTTGAGGAACGGTGACGATCCTTGTGTTGTACTGTGGCACCTGCTGTGTACGAACGACAGTGGAGACTCGCTGTTCTATTTGTGTACGTGTTACGTGATGAGTCTGCGTGTTAGTGCGAACCACCTGCGAGAAGATGGTGGTGGTGACAGGAACCAGCTGTGTAGAGGTGATGACTCGAGTTTGACCAGGTTGTGTGATGGTTTGGGTGACGACGTTGGTCTTGACAAGCTGGGTAGTTCTGACGACGTTCTGTGCAGGTATGACTACAGTAGAATAACGAGTGCTGTACTGGGTAGTAGGTACAATGCGAGTCTGATCTGGCAACTGCTGTGTTCTTATAACCGTTTGTGTTCTGTAGACGGTGCTGACAACCTGTTGAGGTACCACCTGTGTTGAGACGACGTTTTTAACGATGGTAGTAGGTACCTGCTGGACGCGAGTCTCATACCGTGTCTGGTATTGCACTTGGGTCCTAACACTCTGCTGAGTACGAGTCACGTAATTGACCTGAGGAGGGAGAGTGACGAGCTGTGTGCGTATGTTTTCCTGAGTGGTCGTGACAGTGAGCGTTTGGTATCTTACTGAAGGAACCTGCTGAGTGCGAACGATCTGTGAGTATAAGGTGGTGAAGACTTGCTGTGTGCGGACGGATGTTTGTGTGATGTACTGGACGTTTGTATTGTAGACGGTTGATGGGACGACTACGGTAGAATATTGGAGCTTCGTGCGGTAGACGACAGATGGCTTGCATTGGGCTTCTTTTGGCGGCAAATAGGAGGACTCGAGATTGATGCGAGCTCCGAAGATCTGACGGCGAGGCCTCTCGACGGCCGCTCCGAAGGCGCAGCCTACCAACAGGGATAGCAGCAACGTTCTCATCTGAAGGAATACAATACTATTAGATAAGTTGATGAGGAAACTGGCATGGAAAAAATATAGAAATATGAGTATGAATATGAAATATCTTTTTCACTTATACGTAACACCTCCGATGTATAACAAAATGAACTTTCATAAAAAGGTAATAATGAAAGTGTATATAAATACGAAATTGATGTATGTGATTTAACAATGAGTTGAAGGTACTTACCATAGAAAGCCTGTAATATATATAGTGTATATCGTATACAAAGGAAGTAATGAAATTGTTGCATAAGAATACTGGGATGTATTTCATTTACATTCATACAGAGTTCACTGGAAAGCGAAACATAAACAGATTTGCTGAAAAGGCTTTGCTGATTTTCTAACTCTGATTCATCCTGCGTAACTAAGATGGAAATCAAGTAATTTTTCTTTAAAAATTGAAGGGGACGGCCGGAGCATCGTAATTATATCCACAAGAGGAAGTAACTGTCTGAGTGACGGTAACTTGGCGAGGTTGGTTGACTGTGCGGTACACAAGCTCCTGTCTTTGTTGGGTCTGCACCACCTCCCGGTTAACGACGCGGTCTTGACCGGGTACTTGGAGCACAGAGGTTCTGACTTCCTGACGGGTTTGTACGACGGGGACCGGTGTGACGTACTGGGTCCTGACAACAGTCTGTACACGTGTGAAGGGCTGAACCCTTGTCTCAAAGAGAGTGGTATAGATGGTGGTGGGAACCACCTGAGTACGCACTACTTCTTGGTGCACCACCTGTGTGAGGATGCGCGTCTGGGTAGCAACATTGGTTCTGGTGACCAGCTGTTGACGAGTAGCAACGACATTCTCGTAACGAGTGTTAACAGATGTGAAAGGAATGATTTGTTGACGCTGAACAACAGTAGTTGTAAGAACGTCCTGTCCACGGACGACAGATGTCTTTAGCAGCTGTTGTACACGTGTGGATGTTACAAAACGGGTGATAGCTGGCTGTTGGCTCCTGACAATGGAGGTCTGAACAACAGTCTGAACACGAGTTTGTACAACGTCACGGCCTGGGACAGTGACGACACGGGTAGCTTGGCGCTGCTGTGTTTGGTAACTAGTAAGAGGCTGGATGATAGTCCTGATCTGAGTGGTGGTCACCTCGACAGGAACCACCTGTGTCTGCACCTGTGTACGTGTGACGTAGTTGACCTGTGGCACCACACGGGTTGAAGTGACGAAACGAGTTTGTACAACAGGTGGGCTTGGAACGGTCTGTGTGACAAACCTGTCTATAGCACGAATAGTTGTTTGTCGAACAACGCTGGTCTGATACTGGACCTGCGTCTGAACACGAGTCTGGAAAAGTGTGGTTGGTACCACCTGTTGCCTGACAATGGTCGTGGTTCTATACTGAGTGTTGACTTGATTAACGGTCTGGAGGCGAACTGAGGTCTGAAGCTGAGTGTTGTAGACGACGGAGGTGACAGGAGCAACCTTGCATTTTGCGGGAGGAAGATATTGGTTGTCTGGCTCCGGGTAATTGTATCCCTGGGGTTCGGCCGAGGCCAGAGCCAGCACCAGGAAAGTCGCC